TTTTTCTATGTCAGGAGGGAAGACTGCAAGAAATTTAGGCAAATTAAGCCCCAAAGCGCACTATAATTTTCTATTTCTGAACCGATTTGTAAGAGAATGGGTAACTGAAATTAGCAAAGAATCACCCCACACAAAGATGGCGCGTGCAGAATTTGTGAAAGCGAAAAAGAAGACGAAGGAGAAGCAAAAGAGGGACGGAACACGGCGGTGCTGGGGTGGTGAGTGTTTGGATGGGGGCGGGGAAAATGCTGCAGTTTTCATGAAATAATAAGGTGGGGGAAAAGAGGCATACAAAGAGTAGGTTTTTCATTGTTTGTAAAATATAAACACAGATGAATTCTGTCTTTGGTTTGTTCATGCTTTTCACTCTGCACAGCAGGGATGTTCTTAAGAAGTTGCCCTCTGCGAAATTTCACTAAATGGGAACCGTGGACCCTGCATGATGGGATTATAATCACACCAGCCACTCCTTTTACATAATTTTTTGTTTAAGATCCAGTAAGACTCCCTGTTTTTAATATATATAAAGCAATAGACATGTATATGTCGATAAACAGAGTTTGCGTCCCCATAGCCCAGTGCAGGCTAAAACAAAAAACCGGTGATATCACATCTACAAATCTCAATGGATTCAAAAACAATATGAAAATTTTTAGCTGACAAGAACATGTCCGCTGCCTGCAGTCCCTGCAATAGCTCACCATGTTGCCTACTAACCGAAAGATCAAAAATTATCGATTTCATGGCGCTGCGTGCTCTGGAAAGAAAAGCTACTTTAAAATTTGCATTGTTTAAGAAATGAGTTAAAAGAAAAGAAACATTTTTTTTTTCTGAACACTTTGGAATGTGAAAATGGCTTGTTTTAATCTTATCCATGATTTACTATAATTCTATTATTTTTAGCAGCTGGAGTCCAGAAATGATTTTTTTCGATGAACTTAGGATTTTGCCGCAGTATACATCTGCAGTCCCAGAATCCTCCGGTAAGTTAATCCGTCTTGCGATGGGAAACGCCTTTAACCTTCTTGTGAATGAGATATCTGCAACCATTTTGAAATTTTTAATAGTGTGTGTATATGTGTGGTGTGTGTGTGTGTGTGTGTGTGTGTGTGTGTGTGTGTGTGTGTGTGTTGT